AGGGAGCAGCCCCAGGCCCCTCAGCCGGGCGCCAGCCCCTTCCCACAGCGGGCACGGACCGGGCGTCCAGGGATCCAACCCTCAAAAGGGGAGTCCCTGAATTTTCAGGAGCACGTTCTAGAACGCCCGGCCTGTAGAAAGGGACAGGCATTTCCCAAAGACTCGTACCCCAACCCAGGGCAGGGCTATTCCATAAGCAGCACAGGGGGACCTTTATCTTGGTCCTATGTTTCAGGTCTGTATGAGTGTCTTGCACAAAACATTTTATGAAGAAAATTTTCAATTTAAGATGGATGAGAAGCTGAAGAAGAAATCTGATTTCTTCTGTAGAAAGAAAGGTCACAATATAATCAACAGTACACAAATGTGCAGCATGATGTAGTATATAAACTAAAACAGCGCATGGCGAAAGATTTGCAACAGACACAAAGTCTAAGGTCTTTTTATTACATTTTATAGATTAAATATATCTTCAGTAGAGTCTCTTTTTTAAAACACACAAAAGGAAAAAATACATTCTTCATGTACATAGGAAATACTGACCACATAGCAGGGACCATGTACAGTGCAAAGTATGAACACAGCTACACAGACATCACCACCTTGGATGACGATCAGGCTTTTTTCTACAGTAAAATTAGAACAAGTCAACATTTCTGCTTCCAAAGAGAAAGCCATAACCTTCCCTTCCATGGCATTTTGTGGGATTGTGCAGGAAAGCAGAGCTTTTTTTTTTTTTTTTTTAACTTTTTAAAGGTATTATATAAATCCTTGCATTGCATGAAAAATTATCGAACTCCACAAGCTTGACCTGTTTCACACATTCATAATTGTAGTACAATTCTTATTTGTGATTGCAGCCCAACTCCAAAAATCCAGGGAAAACAGAAATATATAGAACCTGATAAAGAGAAAGGAATGAATCTGATTGTTGCAATGTCCAGGGAACATGTACCCACATGTACACACACACAAAAGATGAAAGATAGCGAGGTGTGATTGAGCATCTCCTATTTATTACAGGTTTGGAGTGAGGGCACAGGGTTGCACGTTTCACTTCAGTGGGGAATCTCTAGTGTCTCTCAGTATGGGATGTCATTCTGGTAGTACTGGATCATGTCGTAAGTCCTACTCCTAGAGAAGAAAAGCAAAGCCAGAGGTAAGTAAAAGTTTAACAAAACATTGCACCCATTGTCACAGAAACAAACATCAAGATCCCACAGAAACAAAGCATGGGTGAAGGAAATTAGCTGCTAATCAAAACTAGCCCTACATGCTTTGAAGGCATTGTGAAGGCCCAGTTACTGTTATGAACAGCACAAAACATCCTGCTCTTGTTTAAAATAGGTAAAAAAAAAGTATTTCCATGCTTCTCAGTGTGGCAACAGCAATAACAGCTTGGATCCTGTGTTTGGATAAGTGCCAGAAGCACCTCACATGGCATGGGCAGTTTGTTTTAGGAGAAGAAAGTATATAATGGACAAAGCAAGATCATCAGGGCAGCATGGAGACAGGATTATGTGGAAATAAAGGTAATCTTAATTAAGGAGAACGGTAGTAATGAAAATAAAAGTGCAGGGGAAATAGCAGCATCTCTGACGAGTGACTGAACAAACAGATCTAAGCCTTGTTACAGATAACTCAGTTATCCATGGGCAGAGCTTATTCAGGTCACAGACTAACCATGCCACAGGTAGAGAAGCTCAAGCTTGTCAGAACTAGGCTGGCTCTGGGCACTCCACAGCAGTGCGATTGCCTCCATAACCCCCAATATTAATCTAAGGTTCTGAGCAGATGCACCAGCAGGCACTAGAAAATCCAATTCCGTGCTAGCAGGGCTGTATCTGAGCCAGTAAGCCTTACTGGTCTCAAGTTGACCCCATGCGGAACAAGAGTTTGTATCAAACTCTCCAATATATCCCACAAAGTCTAATATCTGGGATAATAATAAAACATGCACTTAAGCTAAGTACTAAATTTATTATATTTAAAGTATTAAATCTATTAAAATTACATTTTACATGTAATTTCCTTTCAAAAGTTTTGCACAAGATACCAAACTACTTGTCTACTTGAAGGGGAAAAAAACCTACAGTTGATTGGCTAGCTGGTGATTAAGCTGATTTTTAAATTGCTAAGAACTGATTATTCCATTCAGCATACTGAATAGCAGATGACAAATAAACATGGCCCAGCTACAAAGACATTCAAAAACTGCATTGCCAGTGCTCTCTACCTGAGGTATCTTCCCTAGCCAATATTATACAATAAGTAACATACGGTCTAGGCAAAATGATTAATATGTTAATGTGATACCAAGTAATGAAGAAAAATTAGCCAAAAGATTAGAACTCATTTCTAGAGAAGAGTCTACACTTTTGCACAGAATAGCAGCTTTGAATTTCAGGAGGATATTCAGGCACCTTAATGCCTACCAGCAGTTATAAAAAAGGTTTTGAAAAGTCACTGTAGTCCTGTTTCAGCTTCATTCTTACTCAGACCAATGGACCACGCATATTGTTTTTTAAGAAACCTTCTCCTTACAAAATAAAACTGAAGAAGCTT